ATGGAATCCATGGATCCACGGAGAACAAAACCCAGATGCTCAATGCCATCCAATCCCGCCGCTGCCACCAGCGAACAACAGGCGCCCGAGCAACGGCCGCAAAACTGGATCGCAGCCACAATACCGACCACACCTAGGAGAACACAAACCGTCAGATCCGCAGCCCGGTGGGGGAACCACACCGCTCTCAGTTCGGCGTCACCAAAGTGGCGGCTTATTTACCGTAAGCAGCATCGAACCCTTCCAATCAACACCACCAGGGAGAAGCTTTCCTTCTTTTTTTTGCGGGAAGGGAGAAGGTTAACCCTATCTACACACCAGGAGACAAGGAACGGGATCCCCACGTCCATACATGCACATTGTTTGAATTGCATTAAGTTTTATTTAAAATATGATTTTTCTAAATTTAAAATTATTTATGTTTAAATATTTTATAGAAAACAAATATTTTTACTCCTTTTATTATAGATTAGATTATAATTTATATTTATAACACAATTACAAGAAATATAAAAAAGAAAATCATACCTATGTGAATGGGCTGCAGTGGCCGCGACCCATCTAAGTCATGTGGTATCGACTGCGGTGAGGACATGGCGACATCAACGTCAGCCATGGGTAGAGGGAGACGACAATTCGATCGGTGCCGGTCAATGGATCATGGAGGTGGATAATGGCGGCAGCGATGAGGGCAGACAGGGATGCCGGGGTAGGGTGAAGATGTGTGTTTCCTTGACTATTTGACACAATGAGCTTTTTTCTTTTTTTTCGATTGACACAACGAGCTCAAAAAACATTTTAAGGGAAGTGAACAAAGTTTGAGTTCTTTTTTTTAAAACATTTGTGATTTTATTCATACTTATAACAATTATAGGTACATTGATTTAGACCTAAGATCTAAGAAAATACAAAGTAACTATTATGATTAAGAATTACAATGAAATATCTTGAAAGCACTTTCTTCGTGGTATCAATCTTTGCTCGAAGAAATACTTCAAACACTTCGATAAAGAGGCTGCAATTGAACTGGAACGACGATATTGCCACTCTTTCACCCACACGAACATTACTAAAAATAATTTTTGAAAGCGCCTTCAGTCGTACGTCCAAAAAGATGAGAAGATTTGGAGCTAGAACGGAAAGCTTTGGTTGTGGGCCGGGAAACATGACAAGCTCTGGCTAGCAGGCCTTGTTAGAAGTAGCCTTTCCACGCATGGCGAAAGTAGCCACGGTGGGCCGCGCACACGGATCCTACCCATTCTCATCCGTCTCAGCCATTCCTACCTCCACGGTTCTCCGCCCATTGCCGCCGACGATGACGCCGGCCGCCATCCCGTCCGCTCCCAACGGCAAGTGTCGGGTGGTAGGTGCGACATATGCCAACGGGTGGCTTATCGTTGTGGGAGCCAGTAAGACGTCGCCGGTGCCTGGAAGCGGGATGAGGCGAAGACATGCATGCCGGTGAATCTTACCCAGCTTCAGGGCTCTCTGTGTAGATAACACCCCTACTCCTGCTCTGCGGGGTCTCCGCATGATCACTAGATGGATAAGTAGCTACACAATGCTCCTTGATCTGTTCGGTGGGAGGAGGAAGAAGGGCACAACTAGCTTGCTTCTTCTCCTTGTGTGGTGTCTAAAACGAACTGGGGGTCCAACCCTTTGCATGGGCGTCCCGGGGGGTTTATATAGGCCTACCCCCCGGGGGTACAATGGCAATCCGGCTGGGCGTGGGGCCCAGCCGTCTGTGTCTACACTCGCCGGCTTCTGCGCCGACTGCTGGGGCCCGCCGGCTGGTGGGTCCCGCCGGCTGCCAACTCCTTGGTAACAGGCAGGCCCCACTGCCAAGGGCCTTGTCGGTGGCTGGTTACTGTTGCCTCAACCTGATGACAAGGGCTTCGTCGAGGTAAGCGTGGCTACAGTGCCGCCGTCCAGCGGGCGATCGTTGCAGCCTTACCGCGTCTTGTCTCCTTAATGGGGCGTCTCCTTCGAGGGGGGAAGCGAGCCGGCTGCGGGGAGCCGGCCCCGTCTCGGGCCGACTGGGGGAGGCCTGGCCGCCTTCGGGCGTCTCTCTGCCCAAAGGGGCCCACCGCCCGTGGGCCGCGCTGGCGGCCCGTCGTGGGTGACATCAGGGTCAACATGGCAACAGTGCCACGCCGGACGGGTCATGCCCACTCCGTACGGCGCACTGTGCCAGGCGTGCTCCGGGATTCGGGGGTGGCAGGCTTCACTGTAGCCACGCCCCGTCACATCGTCGCTAGATGGATGCAAACTTTGAGGGTACGGTCTTGATCGCTTTATGGGAGCCGGCTTCTTGGAGTCGGCCTCCTCGCGGCCGGCTTCTCGAAGTCAGCCCTCCCATGGCTTTCTTCATGAGGGCTAAAGTCGGGCCGCCTTCCGAAAGCCGGCCTGGGTGACAGCCAGCAAGGGGAAGGTGGCCCCATGTCTTGGATTCTTGAGAGCCGGACGGGCTCGTAATTTTTTCAGAAGGGCCAGGGGAAGCCGGCTAGGCTACCCATGGCTATTTACTCCGACAGTAGTCCCCGAAGCTGATCGAGCTTCGAGGCGGACAAAGGGACGAGAAGCTTGGTCAGCTTCCTACCCTGAAGTGCCGGCTTTGCTGGTGTATGCCGATTTCGGGGAGCCCTGCGTCTTGCAGGCGGGAAAGTGGTCGACCCGCGTGCTGACCGCGGGCCCTCCCGGGCGCCACGTGGCAGCGAGACCCTTCCAGCGCACGCGCGCGACGGGACGCCGTCGCAGGCCCGGGCCCGCCACTCCTAGGCCTCGGCCCGAACACTGATCTTCTGCGGCCCAGGTGGACCGCTCGCCTTCCCGTGGCGATTTTATTTTGCCGTTAGGGCACAATAAACGCGGGACGTGGGGGAGTGGGCACGATCGATCCCCACGTTTCCCCACGCCGCGCCTCCTCGGCTCCGCCACGCGAGCTTATAAGTAGGGGGAGGAGGGGGAGAGACAGAGGTTCGCACGCTCTCTCTCGCTCCGCCCCTTCTCGTCCTCCTTTCTTCCTCTCGTTGCCGCCGTAGCCTCCCGTCGCAGCGCCGCCGCGCCGCCACATTGTCTTGCTCCCATGGCGCTGTCGAGCTCGTGGGATGGCTCCAACGTCCATGAGGACCATGTTGAGTTCCTCCGCCAGACTCGGCGCCTGCCCGACGCCGACCTCGTGCGGGTCCGCCTGGCGCCAGAGACGGAGATCTCGCCGGCACCGGAGGAGGGCGAGCGGGTCGTCTTCTGTTCGCACTTGCTGCGCGGCTTCGGCCTTCCGGCGAGCGGGTTCCTGTGCTCCTTCCTCGAGTTCTACAATCTTCAGCCGCATCACCTCACGCCCAACGCGGTGATGCTGCTGTCGGCCTTCGTCTCTTTCTGCGAAGGTTTCTTGGGGCTGCTCCCCACGCTGGAGCTCTGGGGGGGATTCTTCCAGAGCAAACTCGGCACCGTCGTCGCAGGCGTGCCCGCCCCCTGCGGGGCCTTCATCGCCATGAGGAGGTCGGGCGAGAACAACCCGTTCCCGTCCATCCTCCTGATCCAGTCGGTGAAGATCTGGCAAAAGTCGTACTTCTACGTGAAGAACATCGCCCGGCAAGGAGACCACGTCAACCTGCTGGCTTACGTAGCCGGCCCGCCGGCTGGGAGGTAGTCCTCATGGAGTTTCCGGTCCAGGTCACTGTCTCAGACCAGGAATGCTGCCGTCTCCCGGCTTCGGGTGATGATCCAGTCGGAAGGCCTGAGCGGGGCCGACTTGGTGGCCGCCTTCGTGGAGCGCCGGATACTTCCTCTCCAAAGCCGGCCCCACATGATGTGTCAGATGAGCGGCCGCTTCGACCCAAGCCGGCTGAGCACCAGGGAGATGCCTCACGCGGAGGTGTCGTACATGGTAAATC